ATTTCAATTTAGAGTTCTGTTCAAATGTTAATTTTTATAAAACGTTACCACATCATGAAAAACATAGCATTTTTATGCTGCATTTTAGGAAAAAAAAATTGATAACTAGAATTTTATAGCTGAAAATATATGCTAGTTTATTTTATCGGTTTAAGCGTGCTCGATTTTTTCGATACGCGATTTACTTTTATTTTACGTCTGCACTACGTATAAAACGCATTTAGGAAAAGTGTACAATGTCAAGAGCTTTTACTAAACTTTTTGGAACTTGATACTTTGTAAAATTTACGTCGTAAGCGCATTATTGAAGTCACGGAGAAAAATTGCAAATTTTTTTAAAAAATCCAATTTTAAATTTTTGAAAAAATTTCGACGAATTTTAACTTTACTATAAATTTGTAAATTACATTGAAGTCTGGTTATAAAATTGTAAACCTATTACAAAAAATCAAATGCGAATTGGAATGCATAATAACTGTTGTTTAATTTATTTAAAGTGTTATACTATCGACAAGAGTATTCGAGTAAGTAATATACGATTAGAATTGCAAATTTGACTTGTAAATAACTTTTTTGATTAATTGTTAGGCACATTATCAATAATTTATTTATATATTTAATTATTTAAGAATAGATGATAAAATTTTTACAAAAAATTATGGAACATAAGACAATAAAACTAAACAAAATTACTCTTGAAGTGTTAAAGCTCGCCTTAGGGTTAATTAACAAAATAGGGTTCACTTTTTAATCACACTTACATCACGTAGCGATTACGATACGGTTTCAAAATTAACGATTTGGATTTTGTTTAAAAAAGTGTTCGATCTTAACCCCTTCTGTTCATATTTATGTCATTAGAGCCCCACCCATACATTACAAAAACAAGATTTTGAATTAACATGATGTTTAAAAATTGATACAAATTTGGGAGGCATTGAAATAGCACATCATTTTCTCCTAAATTTTTAAAAAATATTTGCTGTCAAGAAATTAATTAATTAATACTTTATATAAATTTTAGAGTTTTCTCCTTATTTCTTGTATACATATCGTATAATTTGTATATTTATATAAATTACCAATAGAAATTAATGCCAAAATAGCTCTTGTATTTTATTTAAAAAAATTTAGATAAAATATTCATCATTATAACGAACATGATTGCATTAAATAAAGGAGGTTACGTGTTGACATCAAATTTTACGGCATACAGTTAAGTTTTCAACTGGAATGAATTTCTCTAAGATATACCAAAGACAATTAAATATTTTTTTACAAAAAGATCTGTTTATTTTTCTTTACAGTATAGTGTATCTTGATTTCGGTTGTTTGTTTCCGAAAATTTATACCTTAACAGTTGACATATTTTCTTGAAATCTTTCGCAAAAAAACGTAAGTTAAATTTTACAAATTTAACAAACCTACAAGTTGTCACAGGATTTAGTTTTTTTCGACTGCTTTTAACGAAATTAACAAACATACTCAATGGGAAAATCAAATAAGGAAAAGTTAACATCTGCTAAGCAACAAATTAACATTTTTAGAGAGAAATTAATTAAAAGGTTACTATCTTTCTGAAAATTCGAAACGATTGTTTGGCCAATATATGTACATAAATTTCCATAATTAAATTACGCAATACTTTCGTTTACTCAGCGAAGACAAATTTAGTAGCATTTATACGAGAAAGAAAATACACAACGAGATCGGTTATATGCTGACCACAACAGATTTTTCTTTCACTTTTTCACATTTCTTTAAGCATTGTATTAGAAGAATAAAGCAAAAAAAAAAACAATTACAATAATAATAAGCCTTTCTCAATAGGCTTTCCTTCTTCTATTCTTCCTTATTTTTAGGTCATCATAAGGAAAAGTATAGAAAAAAATTGCTATAGCAACTTCTATAATAAAGATTTAGTTAGATTCGAAGGAGAGCTTATATGATATGAATCAGGAAACGCTAAAATCATTTATCAAAAAAAAAAGGACAGAACAAAAACATAAAATTAAATTTAATGAAAGCATCAAGCATATTGTAAAAAAAAAAAGTTCATTATAGTTCAGCATTTATAAAAAAAGAAAATAAAATATTGGTAAATTCATTATTGCAATATCCTATAGGTAATAGAATTAACGTCAATACACAAGTAATATATTGTACCAACTATATTTCCTGTATTTTTTCTTCTCTTTCTATTTTCTATAAAGTATACCAGGTATATTTATTAACAGTTCATCACATCAAACCATATGAATGTGAACAAATTTTAATTGGATTCAAATTTCTCGTAAAATATTTTTTACAAAAAATTTTCTTGCAAGTATCGGATTGCGGGCTGTCATGGAGATTGTTGAATCCTTTGCCATGATTAATTAAAATATCATTTTTTTAAAATATCATTTGCTTCGTTTTTGGTTAAATAATCGCTCAAATTTATGTTATACGTTCAAATTGCAAATTAAGAATTTTTTGCTCCTATCAAAAGTTTCAATTACAATTATACCGACATATATTTTTATTATATTGCATAAAATTTTACGCTAAAAAGTTTAAATTTCCAAATATCAAAAGTTTAAATTAAATTTGAAATTTAATAAAAAATATTGATTCCGGTATCCTCTTTGGTTCCTTCTCTAAAACTTGGAAAAAGGGACCAAAGGAAAGGATTTTGATCTGATGGTATTAAAGTTTAACAAATTGTACACCAAAAAATTATATTATGTAGAACAGTGAGAAATTTTAAACAAGAGATGGACATTACTAAAGCCTTACAACAATGGAGGTTTTAAAATGGTTTATGCTTAGAAGAAAAATTATTTCTTACAAAGTACTATAAGAAAATGTTTTACAGTTTATCGAGATTTTTCCAACGATATCGCGAATATTAGATAACTATTTTGTGTTCACGTTCACTTTTAGGGAAAAAAATTGCCTCACTAATTCCCAGAAATATGCTTAATTCCCCAAATAAAAATTGTAGAACTTAAATATAGATCTACATAATATCTTAAGCTACGCAATATGGCCATCAAATTTAATGAACAATTTGCAATAAGTATTATTTGCCGATTTTAAAATTTCCTCCAAGCACGAAAAGTGGAATTAATTAATATGGTATAAAACACTTTTTCTCTATATACTCTTATCTTTCATATATACAGTGGTTCTTTTAAAGATTTGCTTAAATAATTTTCTATGCAAAGTCGTAAATATGTGTATACATTTTTTAGTTGTATTATATATTTAATTTCTTTGTAAAAATATTGAGGAGAACCACTGTATTCACTTATATGAAAAACTCAATTTTTCAAATACATATGTGAGATTGGCTCTCTTATAGTTTACAGCAGACAATATTTATATTACATATATACGTACGAACACATGTACGTATGTAAATACTTATAAATATTTATAATTGTGTAAATAAATACACAATAAAATAACAAATATGTATAATAATAATAGGTCAAACGTGCAGTAAATTTGATTGATAAATATTGAAAGTTTTCTTAGTTTGCTTGCAATTTAAGATGCATTGGGACTTTATTATTGTTTCGTTTATTGATTTCTTGTTACGTGTATATATGTATATGTACTCGTACATATGTTTAGATACGTTTACCCAACATTAATGTTAACATGAATGCTATTCACATTACCTCAACAACATAAAATCGATAATATCTTTAAAGAAAAAATGGGTTAATATGATCTCTTTTATGACTCTGCTGAAGAAGATTGCTTGAACAAAAACTTCAAAAATAAAAAGAAATTTAATAAAAATGAAAAAAGGATTCGACAAAACATAGAAAAGAAAAAAAAAATTTTAAAGTTAATTTTTTTTTTCTTTTTTACAAAATAGCATGAAGGAAAATTTAAAATTAAGTTTCATTTAAAAGAGCACTCTTTTTCTATAAGATTTCCGCTTCTGACGATGGATTTTTACTCTTGTTTCTTTAAAGGAAACAGTCAATTACATATATACATACATGCATTACATCCATACATATATGGCTTTGATTTTGAAATTTTTCTGTACATACATAGATTCCTTATTGTGTAATGGAAAAGAGATACTCTCCCATTCCTTAGTGAAGTAGATAAAGAATACATACCAATTCACTGGATTCTGGTATTAAGAGATAAGGCTTAATCTGAAGCAAACATTTAAGTTTATTAAACAAAAATATTAGGAAAAAGTGCTTTTCTAAAATTGCTATTATTTAATTTGAAACTGTTTTGGTTCATAAAATTACCCGAAAATAAATACAAGGGTTAAGGAAACCATTTAAAACATAATTTGTAAATTAATGTCTTCAATATGCGTGTCACACAACCTATCCTTTTATTAATACATATACAGTTCTTCGATCTCACTGTGATATGTTTAGAAAATTAACTTTTGGAAAGTATGCAATTATAAAATCTTGTAATTTTACCAATAAATGTCTTACTTACGTTGTTGAAAGAAAAAAAGCTTTCAATATTTTCTGAAAATTTCAAAAACCTTATTTTTTTTTGTATTGCAAACACATTCAAACTAACAAATTAAATAGATTTAATGTTCCTTGATAAATGCATAAGGCCTGGTACAAACAACGCAACAGAAGAACGAATGAAAATAAGAAAACTTCTTTTCATTCGTTGTTCTGTATAGAAAATGCTGTTCTATAAAATGTAATTTTCAATCTACAAAGTAATGAAAGAGCTATATATAATTTTGCCATAAATACTTTCAAAAAATGTAATTAAATTAATATAATTCTTTCTAATATCTATAGAATTTAAATTTTGAATAATCCTCGGCAGGATTTTTACACAAAATAGATAAACTAAATGTTAGTTACGTACATTTGCAACTATCTCGCTAATATTTATAAAGTTAAAGAAAAAGATTTTAATTAAATTTTAATGATGCAAAATAATTCACATAATATTTTTAATAATTCAAATGATTTCAATGTACTACATGGTTTTATCGTCTATCTTACCTTTTTTTTTATTGAAAATTAATTAAAGTTTCCTTATTAAACACTGTATAATTCTGCACTTTCAACAGCCAACGTTTAAGTAGAGTGAATTTTATATATTTTGTTAATAATATCTGTAACGATAAAAAAAAATAAATTAAAAATTTTTATTTCCTTATTATATGAAAAAAATATTAAATTTAATTTCAAATATTTTATCCAATTAATAAAATGATTTATGGTTTTATAATTGTAGGAAATGCATTCACTTGTTTCATTTAATAAATTCATTTTTGATAAGTGAAAGAGATTTTATAGTATTTTGCGCTATAAAACCAAAACTTCTGTTATTAAGGAATACGATAAGGAGTGGTCTGTATGACGCTAATTAAATTCTTGCTATAGATCATAAGAAATAAATTAATATGATATTGACTTTTAATGTTACTGTTACTGAGATCTTTTATGCTAAAATTGAAACATAAATATCTAACAAAATAGCACTAACTACCACTAATTGTAGTCGTGTTAAAGACACAAGTTATTAGTTTAAACTCATCAATTTGCAAAGAATTTGAACCTCATTACAAGACTTTCCATAATAAACCCTTAGATTTGCTGCTTGTAGATTTAAGATTTTATGAGACATGACTTAACAATGTTTAAACAATTTCTAAAAACCTTATTTTACGCACATATGAATATCACAATTTATCCGCTCCTTACAAAACTTTTAGTGTAGAGGATGACGTCACGTAAATTGTTATATACAAACATATTGTTTCTTTATTTAATCTAAAAAAATCGACAAAAACCGTGAATTGAAACAATTTTTTTTTCATTTGTTTTAAATTGTTATAAAATTTGTTTTGGTATCACGTGCCGATTGAAACGCTGTTTCGTAAATGTGTATCATTTCCTCTTATTTCGACATTACAAATTACGAATTAGTTCAATAGTCTCTCGTAGCTGTAGTTTAAACAAAATTAAGTTATTTCACCCCTAGTTTATTTGACAAGAAACTTCATATGTTGGAAGAATTTGGTTTCATCTCAACAAAACTTCAGCACGCAGTTTCATATAAAACGGTACCTCCTATTTAGAAAAATTTTAATGAAATTCGGGATGGAAAATTTTCTAGAAATTTCGAAAAGATTTTTCTTAAAATTATGTGATTAAAAAAATTAATTTTAATTATGAATCAGTTTGAAAATGTTGAGTTCCGATTTTGAGTTTTTAATGCGACAATTTTAATTTTGTTGCCCTAATTATTATAAAATGTACTGTAAAAAATACTATTGAATTCTTCAAATGAAAAGAATGTATTAAGAGAGCAAACTAAAAAATTACATAATTTTTAAAAACCCTTTGAATTTCATTTTTTCATGCCTTACAACAATGACTACAACAATTATAGAATTTTTCAATATAAGTTTAAAAATTAAATAGGCAACATATTTTATGAAATATTTTAGAAATAAATGTGTATATGTACACACAAGTATGTGTATACTAGTATTCAGTTCATATTATATTTTAAATTTCGTTCCAAAAGAGAGACCTATACAGTGAACGAAATTCAATAACGTTATTATTAAAGAAAATATAAGGAAATTTTATAGAAACTCGTAAAAAGTAAAACTTTATGTAAGTAACTTTTCTTTTATAAAAGTTCTTTTGAAATTTTTTCTTCTATTCAATATTTTAATGGGTTTAATATAGCAATACTTATATAAAAGGCATGCATATAAATTTAATAAAGAAAACCAACAAAATTAACATCCTTTTTTGCATACAAAAAAAAATTTAAAATTGAAATCTGTTCAGTAAAAATTTTATTTGAAAACTAAAAAGAACTTAAAGCTTTAAGGTCTCATATATGGACACACATGTGCATGCATTACAATTGTATATACTCGTATGTATTAAAATTTATCTATCTTATTATTATTAAAAAAATATCATATCTCTTTTAACAAAAATTACAATGAACTATCTATATAGGAGCAAGGATTTCACCTTTTCGTCTTAAAAAAAACACAATATGGAGATATGATAGTGAATAAATTATTTCCACATGACGTCAATTTACGAAAAATAAAAGGCAAAGTTAATGGATGCTTTTAAAACAACCATATGTGCTATTTTATGTGTAAGTGTGTGAGACAATCCTTTTATGGATAATGGATAATATAATTTTGTTATTATAAGTATTTCACTTAAATTAAATGGAGTCATATACTCAATAGTGAACATCTTGGAATTAAAATAAATCTATGTTGATGTTCATTTTCAGTAAAAAGCTTTTAGTTCTCGTAATCTACATTTACAATACTTATTTTTGATTAAAAGGGTGATTCAGAAAGGTATACAACAATATATGTCATTGGCTAGAGGATCGAAAATAGTTCTTTGACAACATATTTTATGGGTATAAAATTTAAGCGGTGCCAAAAGTGAAATCTATGTAGATAAGATATTTTTAATAAAATAAAATAAAATTATTCCCTGTGATACTTTAAAAAAATAATGTTTTACATAGTGTAATTAATTTGCTGTATTTCTTTTTAGGAGTGTTAATGATGCTCTTGTGATTTTGTTAAATTGTTAAGGCCTCTTTCAAGAAATTATGTAATTAGAGTTTCAGTTGCTCATTAGATAATTGGTTCGATTAGAATTTTTAACTATATTTTGCAATATTTATGTAGGATGATTTATTGCATCTTATTGAATAGAATCTACAAATTGTAATACGTAATTTTTCAGAGAACTTTTGAAGATGTTTACTGCTTCAACAAATTGGCATTCAATAGAAAGTATTTTAAAACAGCAACTGTATTATTAGTAAATTTTTAGAATCCAACAAAGACGTATGTAAACTCTGAATACGTGAGAAAAATGACTTTATGTTGCTCCATGTTTAAAAGAAGTTTTGAAAATAGAACATTATTTTTGAGCAAGACTTTATTTTAATACTTAGAGAAACACAATTTTCTTATGGTTGCCAAATATTTTGATACAACAATGATCTATGTTTAACTTTTAAAACTTTATATAGAAAAATTTAATATTAATTTTTAAAAATTTTAGTAGAAAGGTTGAACATTATAAACTGAATATGCCTTACTTTTTAATTAAAAGGACCGAGTTTTCTTCTATACATCTATATTTTTTTTCAATACATCTGGATGTCTACAATCTATACAGATATACAAAACTTAAAGTGTATTTAGTGCAAACTTAATCATTATTGTACACAAATTTATGTTTACGATTTCATACAAGCCTTTATATATTTTTATATCTTATCAAAATTAATTTGGCAAGCATTTTATACTGGCATAAAAATGAATTCCTAAAAGTCCCATATTATGAAGAAAATAAATTTTTATTTTGAATTCATTTAAATTTATTCTGCAACAAATAAGATATATTCGTATACGAGTACAAACAAATATTGTCTTACTCCCATTAGAATTTTCAGAAAAAATAATAAAACATTTAAAAATAAGATAAGGATTTTACATTTGAAATTTAAGTTGAACAAAATCGCGAAAAAACAAAATGACAATTTTGTTGTCAAAGAAGAAACAATTTAAGATTTTAAGTAAATTCCAGTATTTAAGAATTTTGTCCGATTATAAGTAAACACTTTTTTATAGTGCGTAAATAAATTTTTGTCAGCTATATTCCGAAATTTCTTATAACTTATGATTTTTGGAAGCTTATATATTAAGATTTTCAGTTGGATAAATTTAGAAAATTTTCAAACAATTTTTTTTCCGACATCCTTCTTTCTTCGATTCCTAGGATCTTTTGCAAAACAAAACCCCTGACAAATTGTAATATAACAGCTAGTTCAAACCGGGAGACTTCCATTTATTTAAAAATTTACTAAAATTATTTAAGGTGCCAAATTATTTAACTTTAGAATTATGAGCTTTAGATTGGAACGTTTTTAACAATCAAAGTAGTTTGTCCAATGTTTCACAAAAATTTAATTAGTTTTTTAACGATCTTTAGTTGAAAATATTTTTAACTCTTCCGCTACCTGTCTCCATATAGTATGCGTCTCAAACTCAAAAATTTAAAAATTTTCTGGTCGCTGTTATTTGATCATTCCAATGTATCTACAATAAAATATTATCCCAAATTTATTTACAAAATTTAATAATGTTTAATTCTGCTCAATAGAAATAATCGAAACTAATATTGAACCAATAAAATTTTTATAATTTATTACTATTTACTAGTTCTAAATCGATATTGATGTACAAAGTTCAATAGTTTACGAGTAACATTTAAGAATAATTTACCAATAATTGTAATTTTACAAAAAAAAAAATATTTTAATAAATTATGTGCAATGAAATGAAATTACTTTTAAGCTATCGCTTTAAAATGTCCAATGATTCTTGCAGTTTAATAATTTGAAATTTTTAATTTATTTATTAATATAGAATTTTTGCTTTTACATTTTCTTGTCTATTCAATATCTAATAACTTTCTTTGAAAATTTTAAGTAGATACTTAAATATAGTAGATAGGTACAATATGCAAAACCAGTTTATTTAAATACGTGTAAATTTCAGTAAAGAAATTTTGTGTTTTTTTTTTATTAACTAGAATCTTTTAAAAGTGGGCTTTTTAAGAATTTCAAAAAGAAGTTAAGAAAAGAAAATGAAACAAGTTTCTTTTTAGTTTTTGCTTCGTATACTAAACCATACTATTACAAATTAGAAATATAGAATTTATCGATTTCCTACATAACTATCAGACAACATAAGCAGTTATTTTTATAGCGGTTTTTAAAATCAAAATTCTATTTTATAGAATATTGAGGTTGTGTATTTAATGTCAGGGATTTATAATAATTTTAAAATAAAATTTATGTCAAAATTTTCATTTTATTGAACTAAGTGTTTCTTTTAATCAAAAACAAAAATAAAGTTGGGTCAAACCAATGGTTTGTATTGTAGCACTTTTCCCTTCAACAAGTGAAAATACTGCTTTTAAAAACAGTCTATGTATATCCACCACACTATTAAAATTATTTTCATTTATAAACGAAACTATTTCTAGCATTGCATATATTTAGGATGAACCATTTATGCAGTCTTTGAAATAAAGCAAA